GGTGAGTGTGGATTTATATATTTTGCTTTGCTGGATCCCCCAGGGCTTGCGGTCAAAGCACACATATTCATAGCACATGTGATTCAGAATCCCACACATGGAGGAACTCGAAAATTAATTGTTCTGTGTGGCTTACAAAATTGTTATTACCTCATACACTTTAGCTATATAGCTCTATGTTTTTTATTTGTTTGTCTGTTTGTTTTGAGACAGGGTCTTGCTCTGTTGCCCCGGCTAAAGTGCAGTGGTGTCATCACAGCTCACGGCAACCTCAAATTCCTGGGCTCAAGCGATCCTCTGGTCTCAGCCTCCTGAGTGGCCATCTCCTTCAGTGCTCACATTCCTGAACTGACCCTTTCCCCTGGGATATTAACGTAACCCATTTCCTATGGAAGCAGACACTGTATAAATGAGTTGCTAACATTATTCACAATAGCCAAAAGGGGGAAAGAACCCAAGTGTTCATCCACAGATAAAGGGATAAACAAAATGTGGCATATACATACAATGAAATATCATTCATCCTTAAAGAGGAAGAAAATTCTGACACATGCTACAACCTATGCTAAGTGAAATAAGCCAGTCACAAAAGGAAAATACTGTATGATTCCACTTATACGAGGTACCAGAGTAATAAAACTCGAAGGGATAGACAGTCGAATGGTGGTTATCAGGGGCTGGGGGAGGGAGACGGGGAGTTGTTCAATGGGTACAGAGTTTCTGTCTGGGGAGATGGAAAGTTGATGAAGATGGATAGTGGTGATGGTTACGCAACACCGTGAACGTACTTAATGCCATTGAACTGTATACTTGAATATGGTTAAAAATGGTACATTTCACCACAATTTAAAAAATATAAATATATGAGTCAAAAGTTTTTGGGTGGGAAGAAGGAAATTTTTAAACCCACTCAGAATATTCCCCCCAAATATCCAAAAATAACAAGAAAGAAGACAGTTATGATACAGTTAACACCTTTCCACTTATTCAAACATAACGAACGCTAGAATGTAAGCTCCATGTGGGCAGGGACTTTTGTCAGTGTTTTTTTCTTTTTTTAACTGACTGACTGACTGACTTACTCACCTACTCTCCATTTGTCAGTTTTGTTTCCTGCTGAAACAGTATGTGTTGGGGCTGGAGCAGCACCTGGCACAGAATAGGTGCTCAACCAGTGTTTGCTGGCTGTGAATTTGTTGAATGAACACTGGGTGTCTACTATATGCAAGGGATTTTATTAGGAGCTGTAAGGACCGAAGGGATGTATGGGGCATGGCAGCTGTTCTTAGGGGTTCACAGCCCAGCAGGGAGGACCGGGATGCATCCAGAAACAACTAACACACAAGATACTTCATGAGTGCTCGGTGAGTACCACAAATAATGCAACAAAGAACGTTTTTCTCACTTTGAATCAGGTTATGGAATAAGCAAAAGTTACATATACTTTGGTCAGTAAATCTTGGTCCTTTCTTATTTAAAATTTTTTTTACACAGAGAGAAAAACTTTAAACATGCTTTCATATAATTGTACTTTAACAGGAGATAAATTTTGTTTTAGAAGTGTTCTGTACTGGCCGGCGTGGTGGCTCACGCCTGTAATCCTAGCACTCTGGGAGGCCGAGGCGGGCGGATTGTTTGAGCTCAGGAGTTC